AATTGACGGTGATCTTCACTTTCAAATGACTCCCATGTCAAATCATTGCCACTATCTGATGGCTCCCTTCAAGCCATACAACTTTTGTCTGAAACATTTCTTTCTAAAGTGCATAGTTTATGAAATATTCGACCAGTCCGGGACTTTTGGGACACCCTGTATATCTACTGTATATCTACTGTATATCTACTGTATTATCCTTACTCTGTATTATTATATAATTCCCATGCACGTACTAGTCCCTCACAAAATCCAATAATGGCATTATTTTCTGGAATCTTATTTAATGGTAATTAATAAATAATAAATGATACACATAAAATATGTTAAAAATATTACAATATCAAAATAATACAAATTCAGCTTATTATGGAAAACAAATAATGTAGACAATTATACTTTTTAAAAATAGTTCTAATAACTCACCCGTTCATTTGCTTCCTTGGTATATCCCAATTCTCCTAATATATATCTAAAATAAATATTTTACTTTATAAAAATAGATACATATGCATAAATTATGTGTACAAATAGATTTTTAAATAAGTAAAATTTTTACATTATACGCTTACTTATGATATTGAGATGTAATAGTAGCCAAGGCAGCAAAGCTAGCTGCTATTGTATTTATTTCAACTTGTTTTATCTTACAATCATCGTGTAATAAGTAGTCCGATCTTAGTAATCCAAGACTTATGTTCTATAAAATTATAAGAATAAGATATATTTTATACTCTTCTGTTTTTTTTATTCCACTCGATCTTTTCATTGATATCTGCAAAATTTTATTTTACATACCTGACTAAAGCCTTCTTCGTATACTGTTTCGTAAATACGAAACAATTTTGCTGTAAACGAATCAGTTTGGATGGTGCTAAAACAAATATATAATGTCATATCGCAATGAAAAAAAAAAAGATTATGATAAATAAACTTGCAATACCTCTTTAAACTATTTGTAAGAAACTCCTTATCGTAAGCGACCTTGTGAATAAGTTGATTTAACAAAACTTGTACATTTTTTACGATGAGAAAAGGCTTCTGAGGAAAGCTCGATGGTATCAGCGTAAATGGTAGTAGCTGTACTTGATCCTTACTGTAATTCTTCATAGATCTTTTGGATATTCCTAAATAACAAATTATATATACATGTGTTATCAATTACATTATATTATATTAATTATATTATATTAATTATATTATATTATATTATATTTAATTATATTATATTAATATTATTATATTATATTAATATTAATATTATATTAATATTATATTAAGTTAATATTAAATTAATTATATTATATTAATATTATTATATTATATTAATATTAATATCAAATTAATATTATAATAATATTAATATTATATTAATATTATTATATTAAATTAATTATTTTATATTAATATTATTATATTATATTAATATTAATATTATAATAATTAATTATATTATATTATATTAATTAAAATTTTATTCAAATCTCTTCAAATCTTGATAACTAATTCGAAAAAATAGCAAAAGCAACCACTTGTTACTCGTGCGTCACGTGTCCTACAGGTGACTTAATTGTTATCGGTATCAGCAAGATTACCGTGCATAAGTGTCCAATCCTTTGCTTTATCCACGCTTTCTCTCAATTTCTCCTCCGAAAGAGGAAGTTTGATACAGGGCTCTAATCGACAGGCAGTCATGTTAAAATCGAATCGAGCAACAATTTACGCTGTCATCACGCGTTATCGTCGCGAAGAATATTGACAGATGTCAACAACGTTCACCAGAGATGGCGTACTCGGTCGCGGCTGGAGCTGACCAATCAGCGCAGCCAGCCGGCCGGTTGCTTCGCGCTGATTGGTCAGTCCCGGCCTCAGCCGAGCCCGCGAGTCCCCTCTCTCTTCCTATTGGCTATCCTGTCGGTTACCATGGTAACGAGATACAAACGTCACCGCGTCGCGAATTGCGTCAATATTGTGCTGTTTTATGACGCTTACGAATTGTTGCGAGTAATTAGAACAGCACGATATTTTAATACATGGCGACAGGTAATATTGATGTGATCCTGAGCCAGCTAGGGTGGCAGGATGGCTTCCGAATTCCTGTAGCTAACGAGGAAAATAAACGTCTGGAAGAGGAGGTGAGGATGCAACAAAGTGTCAATCTCAAGATCTTATAATTTCTCTTGGTTTATTTAAAATTATATAAATTAATAATATTATTAATTAAAATTTAATTATTAAATTAGTAATTTATAATTATTATAAATTATTATAAATTAATAATTTAATAATTAAATTTTATTTAATAACAAATTTCTTTTATTATTAATTTATAATAATTTATAATTATTATAAATTAATAATAAAATAAAAATTTGTTATTAAATATGAACAAAAGTAAGTTTTTTAAATAAAACAAAAATCCAAGTCTCTCTTAATGAAATAGAAATAAAAAATATTTATCATAATTGAATAATTTTTATATTTATTATATTATTGTTTATATTTATTATTGATATAAAAAGTAATTTTCTGGTATTAATATCTCGAAGATTATTTATTCTTATTATGACACTCAATTATATAAATCTAAAATAATATAGAAAATAATTACAGGGCATGGTAATAAATTAAATTAAATTTATTTATAAGGTTATTCGAAAAAGAATTATATAAATTGTAAAACCATTTTTTAGACATTTATATTTTGTTTGCTATAGGTTGCTAGAAAGACCAAGTACAAAGTCTCTCTAAATACAAAGTTGGAGAATCTGGAAGAACGGCTGAAGATGATGAAAAAGCACGCCAGCGATGTAACCATGCGACATGATTTTAATCAGAAGCTGCTCGCGGAGCATTCCACCCAGATGGAGACAGAGGATCATCTGTATCAGCTCAGTGGCAACAAGGAGTCGTCACTACGTCAAGAAACGCGCGAATTTGAAAAGGAGTGGTCGGATGTGAATGGCAGAGTATCATACATAGAAAAAGAGTTACTAAAAATAACAAAAAAAATAGTTAAGGCGAAACAAACGGTTCATTTCGACGAAGATAATTTACATAAGTGTGAGGAGATGCTTGTGCAAAAGGAAGAGGATAATCAGCTGATAGAGATTTACATGAAGCAAGATGCACAAAAGTACAAGGTAGTGCAAGGGCAATTAAGATTTATATATGTTTATCTAAAGAAGTCTAGGAATATTTTTAAATGTACATTTATCTGGAAGAAGACAGAGAAATATTTTGATTTGATATAAATAGACACTTTAACGTGCTGTTTTATTTTCTATCTTGAAAAGAAATAATGAAAAATGTTACAATTAGGGAATTAAAAATATTAAAATCTTTGCATTAGAAACTTTTTAGAAAGTTTTAAATTTGTGATTCTTAATCTAGATTTTTTTCTCTCTTTCTATCTCTTAATATTTAATTTATATATTTATTTTGAAAAATTGTGAAATTTAAACTTATATAATCTCAAAAATGTTTTTGTAATTAAATAATATTATATATTTAAGAATAAAATATATTTGGAAATTAACAAATATTATAAAGATGGAATTTTTTATAAGAATACAGTTTTATCAGTTAGATTTTTTTTATACAAAGACTTAAAAGTTGTAATTATACAATATATACATCAAAATAATACATAGTGTAAAGATAATTTTATTTTTAGGAATTGGAGCAAAATCGGCAGAAACTTAGTGGAGAACTTGAAACTTACCGTCAAGCTACTGTCAAGGCCTTTGACGAGATACATGAGATGGAAATTGTTTTAGACCGTACAACAAAATTGTACATGGAAGCGTTAAAAGAGCGCAGGCAGATGATAAATCAATGGACACAAAGCGTCAACGTTCTGCGCCAGAGGGACAATGATATACAGAATAGTCTAAAAGTATATATGATCAATTTCTTTCAATTTCTGCGTAGAATATAGAATCAAATATATGTAAATCGTAGGAAATCGACACATTGCGAGAGATCGACAGAGAAAAAAAGAGCAATCTTGAAGAAGCGGAACAATTTTTACAAGACCAAATTATAAATAATAAGCAGTTGGAAGAGCTGATTAAACAATCGGAGAAAGAACTTGTCGCAAACCGAGATAAGCAGCGTAAAATCACAGAGGCGATCGATATTTACGCCATCGAGGTGTGAAGACACCAAAGATTTATAAATTATATTTTTCATAAAATTATAGATCTAGTTTTATTAAATTATAAATCTTAAAATTATAGATCTAATTTTATTAAATTATTCCACGTTAATTTACAGTTACTTTATTATTTTGATTATCTTTATAGTTTGAACAATAATGTAAATATTAATATAATAAAATAATATTAATATAAAAATATAATAAAATAAAATAAAAAATATAATAAAATAATATTAATATAAAAAATATTAATATAAATATTAACATAAAAAATTATAGTTAAAAAATTATAGTTTGAGCGATGATTAAAAATTATAGATCTAGCTTTATTAAATTATTCCATGTTAATTTACAGTTACTTTATTATTTTGATTATCTTTATAATTTAAACAATAATTGTCGAGACAGGTTCATACTCAGAGAAAATTAGTTGGGGATCTGGGACGTCGTACACAACAAATCCGAGCTAATGCGAAACGCAAAAAGATTGACATCGAGAACAAATGTATAAAGGTAGACAATTGCAAGAAACGGATCGATGATCTAATGTCGACCTTGGAGGAAATCGAGAGCCAAAAGTTAAACGTTGAAGAGAGAACAAAACGCTTGGAGAAGATGATTGAAGTATGTATTGTGAGAATGAAGTTGATGCGAACAATCTTGGGAAGAATAATAATAATTTGTTGTACAATTTTTTATTATTTTTAGCACGACGAGAAACGGAAATCCGTGATTGTCAAGGAATTGAATCGGCTGCAAGTCGCAATTTTACGGACAACGAAGAAAATTGGAGAGTTGGAGAATGAAAGGAGGACGATGCAGGTGCAAGCTCAGGGTGAACACAAGAAAATTGATGTGCTTGCCGGATTGCTAGCGAAAGAGAAGAAACTGTTGAGCGAGAAAAAGGAAGACCTCTATCGAGTGGAATTTAATCTGCAAAAGTGCGAGATGAAACTCGAGCGAATTAGAGGATACGAGCACGACAAGAGCGAGGTCGAGAGGAAGCAAAAAAAAATTGAGGAGTTGCAAGCTGCACTGAACGAAAGAACAGCTACTTCTAAACTGTTGCAAAATCAGATTACTAGTTTAGAGGTAAAATTTCGCACTTTCCTCAAGTTTATGACACCTGATAAAAATTATCTTGAAATTAATTAAAAAAAAACCGTACAATCAAAATCTCAGAAAATTTATTTGACTAAGATTTAATTAAGGAGAACATTTTCTCCCTGTTCAGCATGACATGAGGAAAATGTCTAACTGCTTGACAAGCGAGAACGACGAACTCGAGCGGCTACGGAGCAAGAAGCAGGACCTGCTGTTGCTGTTGGACGGAGGCGAGAAGCGATTGAGGATCGCACAATCCCGAAACGAGGAGAGACAAGTGGAGGAAAGTATAATGCGCCTTCGAGTATCACAGCTTGAGCGAATGACGATGAACGTGAGCGATAAAGTTTACGATTTAGAGAAGTATCGTCTCCATCTCGAAGCGGTAAGTCTTATTTGATCATTTTAAAATTCATTAATACAGGGTGTGTCAATTTAGAGGACCCACTCAAATATCTCAGAAACACTGCGTTCAATCCAAAAATATTTCAAACAAAAGTTGTGTGGCTTCAAGGGGGCCATCAGATAGTGGCAATGATTTAACCTTGGAGAGTCATTTGAAGGTGACGTAAAGGTCACCTTCAATTTCTTAAATGGAACTCACTATTTTTTATTACATATTCGTGTAGCTTATCTCGAGAGCTTTCCAAAACACTATAATAAAGTATTTCTTCTTTGAGTACTTTTCGAGTTATGAGGCTTGAAATCATTTCTTAATTTTGCATAAACCATAAAATATCTAGTAAAATATTCATTTTTCGATTATCTTACTTTAATACTTTTATGTACAAAATAATGAGAGGAATCATTGGTGTAAAGAAAACACATAGTTGTTTTTTAAAAAAAATATGTAATTGTTAATTGCAAATTACATATTTTTTTCTTACAAACAACTATGTTTTTTCTTTACACCAATTGATTCTTCTCATTATTTTGTACATAAAAGTATTAAAATAAAATAATCGAAAAATGAATATTTTACTATATTTTATGGTTTATATAAAATTAAGATATTATTTCAAGTCTTATAACTCGAAAAGTAATGGAAAAACTTTTGGAAACTTAATGGAAAAACATTTAATTATAGTGTTTTGGAAAGCTCTCGATGTCAACTACATGAATACCAAATAAAAAATGGGGGTTCCCATTTAAGATTTTAAAGCTGACCTTCACATGACCTTCAAATGATTTTCCAAGGTCAAATCATTATCCATCTTATAGCCCCCTTGAAGCCACACTTTTGTTTGAAACATTTTTCGATTTAACGCAGTGTTTCTGAGATATTTGAGTGGGTCCTGTAAAATGGGACACCCTGTATAATTAAAAAAAGACATTAGCTTAAAAACAAGAGATTTTACATAACTTGAATCGATTCTACTCGGTTCAATCGCGTAATCAAGCAGTTGTCACCCGCAACATCTCATCATTTTTGCTCGCAGGCGCTTAAGGAACGCTCGGTGGAAATCGCGGCGCAGAAAGAGGCGCTTATCGTGCAAAAAAGGGTTGCTAGCAACGAGTGTTCGGAGCTGCGGGCTGCTATCACCGAGAGAAAGAGCAGGATACGGCAGCTGCAAGCGCGATATGACAGCGGCGTCGCCGCGTTAGGCGCCAGCCCGGAAGGGTTGCCGATGAGCACCGCATACCTGAAGATACAAAGCGCTCAGGAGCGATATTTGTTGCGGGAGCGAGGTGACAAGCTGGACGAAGCGATCGGACGGACCGAGCAGGAGATACGTAGTATGGAGAACACGTTACGCGTGGTAAACGTGTGCAATGATAAATACAGAGACAATCTGACCGCGGTCGACCAGGACGCGCCGGAGTGGATAGAGCAGAAAAGACTCGACGAGCAAATGCGCGATGTGCGGCAAAAGCTACACCAAAGGCAAACGCAGCTGCAACAGTTGTCCGATAAATTGCGGGTATTTCGCGCATTCACATATAAGAGCTTTCCTCCCTAACTATCAAGAAATAATACAGGATGTCCCATTTTAATCGATTACTCTGAATAACTTTTTTAATTTTGATTGTAGAAAAAAATGTTTCAGACAAAAGTTGTATAGCTTGAAGGGGGACATAAGATGGTGTCATTAGTTTGACATTGAAGAGTCACCTGAAGGTCACGTGAAGGTCACATCCAACTTTTCAAATGGGACACGCTATATGCTTTTGAATATTCTTATAGTTAATCTCGAGAGCTTTCCAAAACACTATAATTAAGTTAGTTTTCATTAAGTACTTTCCGAGTTATGAGGCTTGAAATCATTTCTTAATTTTACATAAACCGTAAAATATCTAGTAAAATATTCATTTTTCGACCTTAATACTTTTATGTACAAAATAATGAGAGGAATCATTTGGTGTAAAGAAAATATATAATTGTTTCGAAGAAAAAATATGTAATTTGCAATTAACAATTATATATTTTTTCTTAAAAATAACTATGTGTTTTCCACACCAATTGATTCCTCTCATTATTTTGTACATAAAAGTATTAAGGCAAGATAATCGAAAAATGAATATTTTACGGTTTATGTAAAATTGAGAAATGATTTCAAGCCTTATAACTCGGAAAGTAGTCAATGAAAACTAACTTAATTATAGTGTTTTGGAAAACTCTCGAGATGAACTATAAGAATATGCAAAAGCATGTAGGGTGTCCCATTTAAAAAGTTGGAGGTGACCTTCACGTGACCTTCAAGTGACTCTTCAATGTCAAACTAATGGCACTGTCTTATGTGCTCCTTAAAACCATACAACTTTTGTCTGAAACATTTTTTTCTACAATCAAAATTAAAAAAGTTATCCAGGGTGATCGATTAAAATGGGACCTGTATATGATTAATATGTAATTTTTAATTTATAATTTTTATTAATATATAATTTTATCTGACAGACAGTGCAAAATGATTATACTCAACTACTTGAAAACATCGAGGAGATGAAGGAGGAGAAGGAAAATAAGCAACGTTACTTGTCGGATATTCAGAAACAAATGACGGAACAGGAAGAGAAGATTTCCAGGGCTGATAAGAGTCTTCGTAAAGCGCAAAAGGATATACAGAACTTATACGTTCTTAAGAGAGACGACGTCATACTTTTGCAACAGGTGACTGAAAATTGCAGGCAGAAAATCTGCAGACGATGAATTGCATTCTTTGACGATTTCATTTCAAAATTCCACTTTTCAGAGAGAGGTAGAATTGCGTGAGCTCCAAGAACAGAACGCGCTAGTCCTGCAAGACATCGCAGAGTTCACGATTCGTCATGTGGAAGCTGAAGCGTATGTTAAAAAATTATTGATAGCGAAAAATATCGAGCTGCCGAGTTTTCCTCCCTCGACCAGGTCGCCCATCAGTCCTTACGGAAGTTCTGCAGGCTCTTTAGATCAGCCTGCGAAGGGTACAAGCCGTACAAGCGTTCTCGCATCGTCGAGAGAGAGTATTGGCAGTATAATTAAGATAGAGCCACAATTCGAGAAACGTACGCTTATTACTTTTACATTAGAATATTTAAATATATATATATATATATATATATATATATATATATATTTATGTCGTCTATTTTTAAACTTTTATACTATCAGAATATTTGGATCAGAACAAAAAGAATATTTTAAATATTTTAAATTTTAAATAATTAATTTAATTAATTAAATAATTAATTTCGATTGATATCTCTTTTTGATTTCTCGATAATTATTAATTTTTGTAACTTGTATTTCGTTTCAGCAGCAAGTAACATCTCAAGAAAGAATATAAAGCGCGAATCGTGTCCTACAAAAATTGCCTTGTCAAAGAGGTCCTCTAGTATACAAGATAAACAACAATTAGGAAAAAAATCGTGATGATCATTTTGTTGATATATATTAATTAGGACTGTGTAATAGAAGAATTAATCTATATAACTCTTCATATATTAAAAAGAAAGGCTTGTAAGAGCTTTTGTTTTGAGATATTTATATAATAAGAGAAAAAATAAAAAAAAAACAATCATGTTTATAATCATTTGGAATAGTTGCACCACTGATGCTAAATATGTATGGAACATACATATAGATACACGTGCACATAAAAATCTGAGAGATAAGTCCAAAGTATCATGTTTTCTATGTTAAAGATAACTTGCATCTCTCGCTCTCGTTCGCGTGTGACTTTTCGAGCATTTTGGTCCAGTTTACAAGTCTCATCCGCGCATTTCGGATATAAAAAAGTACGTAATGTTTCAAAGAAATTCAGAAATACTTATAAGAAAGGATGAAAATTTTATTTATTTTCTATTTATTATTTTTTCTCTGTTAAGAGAAATTTATGATTATAAATAGTTGTAATAAAATTTGTTTCAAGATAAATGCATATTAAATTCTAGTGAAATTGCTTTAAAATCTTGATAAAAATTTATAATGCATATTTCTTTATAAAGTTTATAAAAATTATATATTTTTATATTATTAGATATTTATGAAAATTATATATTTTATATTAAGTTATATATTTTTATTTATTATATATTTATAAAAATTATATATATATATATTTTTATATGACGTAAAAAAAAATATAATTATATACATTTATATTTATAAAAACAAAATATTTATCTATAAAATATTAGAGACTCATCGGTTAACCTTCATGTATAACCTTTATTTATCAGTTTCCTAACCTAAACTGAGCCAAACTAACCCAACCTTAGAAGTATCCTACAGTTTCTTATTGAATCTGAAATGTAAACATTTTTAAAAATTACTAATTAATTTGAAAATTTTTTCACCGAAATTTTAGTTTAACAAATAAATAATATTTGTGAATCTAAGAAAATATATAAGATATATAAGATAATAGATGTTTAAGAAAATATATAAATATTTAAGAATATTGTTTATTAAAAATCTAACAATAATTTCCAGATGTCCGAGTTAACGCAAGTCCAAAGCAACAAAATTTTTGGAGGATGGCAGAAGGTGTATTCGCACAACAGGTAAAATACACGATTTGTGCAAAAGCCACCATTTATTAACTTAATTAGAACAGTAAAGCTTCCTATGGAATACTTGCACTGACAATTATAATTATTCAATAGCACAGAATTAGGATGCAAGATGAGATTCGCTGTCTATCTACCACCCCAAGTCGAAGAGGGCCCCGTGCCGGTTATCTATTGGCTGTCTGGGCTCACCTGCACCGAGGCTAATTTCAGCGAGAAAGCTGGAGCTCAGAAATACGCTGCGAATTATGGCGTGCTTCTTGTTATACCTGATACGAGTCCTAGAGGACTGAATATTCCTGGGGAGGACGACAGTTACGACTTTGGCAGTGGTGCGGGGTTCTATGTGGATGCGACACGCGAACCGTGGAGTAAAAATTACAGGATGTACAGCTATGTCACCAAAGAACTGCCTGCTTTGATTAATAAGGAATTCCCAACTTTAGCGGACAAACAGTCTATAATGGGTCACAGGTGTGAAAAACAGTGACAGATTTTTTGCAGAGATATTTTTGAATGTGATCTTTAAAAAGTTCCTCTTGTTTGTTTAGCATGGGAGGACATGGCGCTTTAATATGCGCCTTTAAAAATCCTGGACAGTATAAAACAGTCTCAGCCTTCGCACCTATAAGCAATCCAATTTTGTGTCCATGGGGAAAGAAAGCTTTCAAAGGATACCTGGGGGGACCAGAAGATAATGTTGCGTGGAAAGAATGGGATGCTACAGAATTAGCAAAAGTATACGATGGTCCACCTTTGAGCATTTTAATAGATCAGGTTTGATTTTAAAATTACATTTATATTTGATTTTAATTTGTATCTCACTTTTTCATCATTTAATTGACTCTTAAAGTTTTCTTTCAGTTTTTTTTAATTGATGATTATGCTTTATAAAAAGAAAATTGTATTTTGTTAATATGTGTTTGTACATTTTATAGGGTAAAGAAGATCAGTTTCTGAAACAAGATCAATTATTACCAGAAAATTTATTAAATGCTGCCAAGGATAACGGGATTGCACTCGCTCTCAGATTTCAGGATGGTTATGATCATAGCTATTACTTTATAGCTACATTTATCGAGGATCACTTCAAGCATCATATAAAATATCTTAAAAGTTAAGTATGTTCAATATTGTTAAAGGCATTGGATTTTTGAAATATTGCAATCTATATTATATTTTTGACAAGAGATTTACAATTATGAATTAAATGATACTAAATCTTCTCCAAAGACTCGCATTTTTCTATAAAAATTTTTACATGAATTATTATTTTAATGTCTATGTTTATTGTTTTTCTTTTTGGAGAAGTGATAAAGTTATATTTCATTATGTAAAAACGGTGTATAGATAATAAAAATATATAATGCATATATAAATTTGTTTTTCGAGATAATAGAAACTTTACAATTTAGGAATATTGCGTAAACAAAAATTTAGAATAAGAAAAATATCATTGTGATCTACTATATTCTCGGAACCTATGCCACAAGGTCAGAAGTGGTTCCCGTTTTTGCCAGATATTAGCATTGCCCCAAATTTGCCAAAATCTGCAATTTAGAAAAAATAAATTATAGTGCGACTTATATTATTTGGTAAAGATGAAAAATTTTATTAGAAAAGTTATCTTACATTGCGAATTAAATTTATAATGAGCATTTATATAATATCATTATTTTTTTTTAATGGAAAAGAAATATAATAATGCAAGTCTTATATCTTCAATTTTGTTACGTGACTAAACTTACATTCCAAATAGTGCACCACCTAAATGCGCAGCATGATCAAAATACTTCCATCCTAAGGTGCAACCAACAACATCCATAGCCATTATTCCTTTGATTGCCTAAGTAAGAAAAATATAGAACAACAGAGAAATATATATCAGAATAAATATATATCACAAATTATTATATAACAATTTAATAGAGAAAATAGTGCTATTTTTTATTTATGTAATCAAAATTTTTTTATAAAATTTCAACATAAAGATTGGGAATACATACCATACCAGCTGTAAAGGTAAACATAGGAAGAAAAATGATACTGAGTCGTATGTCAGGATATTGTGTACAGATAAATCCAAGAACACCCATAATTGCCCCTGACTGAAAATAGAAACAAAAATATTCTCTAGAATATCGGACTTTCATTTTCAAAAATAATTATAAATTTGCGGAATATCTACAAGAATATACAGGGTGTCCCATTTTAACTTGGACAGTAAAATATCTCAAAAACTAAGCCCAGCAAACAAAATTGTTTCAGACAAAAGTTATATGGTTTCGAGGGGGACATAAGATGATACCATTGGTTTGACCTTGATATATTTTTACATAAATCATAAAATATCTAGTAAAATATTCATTTTTGATTATCTTACATTAATGCTTTTATGTACAAAATAATGAGAGGAATCAATTCGTGTAAAGAAAACATACAGTTGTTTTTAAGAAAAAATATGTAATTGTTAATTGTAAATTACATATTTTTTCTTAAAAATAACTGTGTTTTCTTTACACCAATTGATTCCTCTCATTATTTTGTACATAAAAGCATTAAGGTAAGATAATCGAAAAATGAATATTTTACTAGATATTTTATGGTTTATGTAAAAATATAAAATTAAGAAATGATTTCAACCCTCATAACTCGAAAAGTACTCAATGAAAAAATATTTTATTATAGAGTTTTGGAAAGCTCTCGAGATAAGCTACAAGAATATGTAATGAGAAAATGTAGATTCCATTTAAGAAATTGAAGAATTGACCTTCATGTGACTCTTCAAAAGTCAAACCAATGGTACTATCTTATGTCCCCCTCGAAACCATATAACTTTTGTCTGAAATATTTTTGTTTACTGGGCTTAGTTTTTGAGATATTTTACTGTCCAAGTTAAAATGGGACACCCTGTATAAAAATTTGTGTGTGTTAATAATCTTTTTTCTTTATAAGATAAAGCTGCTTACCGCTCCTAAAGAAAGACCAGGCACACCAAACATAATTTTGTACGCATGACTAGCAAAACTGGCTATTACTCCACTCGATAAATACAGAGCTAAAAATTGCTCCTTTCCTAACGTTGTCACAGCTATCGTGCTGAAGCTATGTAACACGTACATATTTGCAGCCAAATGGAATATGGAATAATGTGAAAAAGTGGAAAGCAGCATCGGCCAGCACGTCGCATCTACGCAAGAATTATTCAAATCAGCATTTACAATAATCCAGAAAAGAAAAAGAAATGTTCCAAATTTTTCTTTCTTTTCAAGCTTTGCTTGAAATGATAATATTACTTACTGGCAGGATTAGCGCAAAAATAGCGCACCATCGTTTTCTGGAAAGCTGGCACTCGCCAAGCTAAGAATGTCACTACGTTTATAAAACATATAGGCACGAACATCTTCTGTCCCTCTGTCAAGTTTCTCCACCATGTCTCTATTTCGCCCCTCCATCCTGTTCGCTAACCAATATATTATTGTATATACAGTAAAACGTGAGGGAATCACATCTCCTAAATACATATTATTTTAACTAATACATACATTAATTCGAAACTGTCTGTAACGTTGGATTATCTTGTACGTCTGGCTTCTGATACGCTCATATTCCCAAATTGCAGCACCGACCATAGAGGCACTGCTAAACTGAAACAAAAATGTTAAAAAACCATTCATTTCAAAGAATAAAAGATTCTATTTCAATTGTTAGCAGCGATCAAATTCTTTCTATTTTTAACATTGTTGACAACAATTTTGAGAGAATAAAAAGAAGTTTTTTTCTATAAATTTCTAAATTAATTTTATTTTTTCTTACACATAAACGAAATAAATGTGTCGTTTCAACTATAAAATACAGGATATCCCATTTTGATCACCCCGAATAACTTTTTTAATTTTGATTGTAGAAAAAAATGTTTCAGACCAAAGTTGTATGGCTTGAAGGGAGACATAAGACGGTGCCATTAGTTTGACATATTCTTGTAGTTCATCTCGAGAGCTTTCCAAAACACTATAATTAAGTTAGTTTTCATTAAGTACTTTCCGAGTTATGAGGCTTGAAATCATTTCTTAATTTTACCCTAATTTTTATAAACCGTAAAATATCTTGTGAAATATTTATTTTTCGATTATCTTACCTTAATAATTTTATGTACAAAATAATGAGAGGAATCAATTAATGTAAAGGAAAAACACACAGTTATTTTTAAGAAAAAATATGGAATTGTTAATTGCAAATTAATTACATATTTTTTCTTCGAAACAATTATGTGTTTTCTTTACATTAATTGATTCCTCTCATTATTTTGTACATAAAAGTATTAAAGTAGGATAATCGAAAAATGAATATTTTACTAGATATTTTATGTAAATGGTGTATGGTTTATGTAAAATTAAGAAATGATTTCAAGCCTCATAACTCGGAAAGTACTTAATGAAAACTAACTTAATTATAGTGTTTTGGAAAGCTCTCGAGATGAACTACAAGAATATGCAAAAGCATATAGGGTGTCCCATTTAAAAAGTTGGATGTGACCTTCACGTGACCTTCAGGTAACTCTTCAATGTCAAACTAATGACATCATCTTATGTCCCCCTTCAAGCTATACAACTTTTGTCTGAAACATTTTTTTCTACAATCAAAATTAAAAAAGTTATTCGGGGTGATCGATTAAAATGGGACCCTGTAAATAAAACAAATTAGAAAATATATAAGGTGCTTTGTTGGATAAAAATCAATAAGAACTTATTCAAAAAGTCTAATATGAACCACCAGCGTTGAAGTTCGACGCAAAATAAGATACGAAGTAACAAATTAAAAATGCAAACTTAAATAATCACAGATAATATATTGAATATTATTCTGCAAAAAAGGACATAAAGAACATTAAATCAATGTTCAAAATGAATAAAACGCAGACGTTTCGATCCTCCCCGGATCCTTCTCAAAAAAACATATAATAATACAGAAAGAACGCAGTCAGTACAATGTCCGATATAATAATGTCAAATTGCCATCATACAATTAAAAAAATTTTTTTTCCAGAGACGACAATGGCAAATTATAATATAAATTGAGTTTCGTAAAAGGAAATGACCGAACTGCACTGAAAATATTCGAAGGGTCGCGAGTCGCTCACCTGTGCTCCAAAAAGCAGATCGGAGCCGTGTTTAAAAAATGACACGAAAAATCGTCGAAGCCATCCGTTTCGATGGTGCAAGGAAAGAATAAATAAAAATGCTGCAGTGACGCAGAAAATGCAAATCAGGCTGATCATTAATTTCGCAACTCCATAATATTCAGAAGCACAGGTAGAGATCTGAAATAAAATAGAAAAGGACAGAGCAACATGCATTCCCAGAAAACAAGATCAAGCGAGCGAGCGAGAGAAAAAAAGAATTAAAGAAAATTAATAATTAATAAACATACACCCAGACATCGAAATAATTCGTGTGAAAGGATCACGAGGACAAAGAGGGAGCGCATATCGATGAAAATAAGATCAGAGTATCGCAGTGATGTGTCGCCGGCCAAATGTGGCGCAATAGACTGAGGAGCGAAAAGAAGGAATCCCGAAAAACGGGAGACAGGGGGTGGGAGGGAACGTAATTAATGATCATTCAGATTCGCATTTTCGGCGAATTTATACACTCTTTCCATCGAAACGGACGTCCTTTTTTTTTTTGTCATTTTTTACACAAAACTCCAATCTATCTTTTGAAGCCCAGGTGAGTGACTGGCGGCCCTTCGAACAATTCCAATACAATTCGGTAATTTCCCTTTGCGAAACTTAATTTATATTATAATTTTCATCCTATTGTTGTCTCTGAAAAAAAAATTTTTTTAATTGTATGATGGCAATTTGACATTATTACATCAGACATTCGTACTGACTGTGTTCTTTCTGTATATTATTGTATGTTTTTTTTTAGAAGGATCCGGAGAGTATCGAAATGTCTGCGTTTTATCTACTTTGAACTTCGATTTATTCTTTATGTGCTTTTTTGAAGAATAATATTCAATATGGTATCTATGATTATTTAAGTTTGCATTTTTAATTTGTTACTTCGTATCTTGTTTTGCGTGGAACTTCAACGCTCGTGGTTCATATTAGCCTTTTTGAATAAAATATAAAATATTCTGATAAATAATATTATTGCATAAAATATTCTTATAAATAATATTATTGAATAAAATATAAAATATTCTTATGAATAATATTATTGAATAAAATTTAAAATATTCTTATAAATAATATTGAATAAAATATAAAATATTCTTATAAAATATATTACTCGATTTTATAAATAAAGCTGATGAGTAGCTTTGTGAGTTACTTATTTACCATGATGGTGAAGCCAAGGTGCTTCCACAGCCTTGCAGGCTGGACAGCTCCAGATTCGATATGAACATTTGGAAAAGGGGATGCTGACTGTTTGAGGGAAATCTGTGACCTCCTTAGACTTCTTATTTGCCTATATTGTGGTGTTTGCAATCTTGGCCCACAATTTTGTATAGTTGCAAAGAAACTGCAATTTCATAAATATAATTAATACAATTTATAAATATAATAAACAATTTTATGTAGCATATATTTAAGTTATAATTAAAAAATCATAATGTAATTATTTGTAATGTACAGAATGTAATTCTTAATTGTGTATTCATACTTCAGGTAATAAATCTGAAATAAATAAAATTAAATATAAAATATATAAAATAAATAAAATATGAAATAAATAAAATTAAATATAAAATATATAAAATAAATAAATAAATAAAATATGAAATAAATAAAATTAAATATAAAATATATAAAATAAATAAATAAATAAAATATGAAATAAATAAGATTAAATATAAATATAAGTATACATAATTTTACAAGAAATATTTTATTGCTTTGAATGGCAAAGTTGGCATCGGCAATCAATTAGAAATTGTCTTGTGTTACTAATAAAGAAAAATTGTATTATATAAGATGGCAATGAATTCTACTTGTTGCTTCTAAAAGCGAAAGCTATGTTTGATTGCAATTTTCCTGAATACGCTCATTAGATACTTTAATATACCCAGATCACGTTATGTTATATTATAATTTTAAGGAGAAGAATCTTTACCAATTAATATTATTCTGAATTTCTGCAAAAGTATATTCATGTATTGCGATTAAAAATCACCTTATACAGGGTGTCTTACATATTTTCCTAATTTCTACAAATTTATAAATCTTTATATAAAGAATTAAAAAAAAAGACAACAGCAAATACATTGTATTAAAAATTGAGATATCTCGAAAACACTTGGAAAGAAAAAGATAATTATATTTTTTGACAGCAATACCATTCATATGAGACACCCTGTGTAATAAATACAAGGAATCAATATCCTTGAAACATGAAAATTTAATAATTTTCGGGAATAAAATTTCAGGAAATTCATATTATTTTGAAGAAACTTGGATAAAAAGGGGATAATTTTTTTACAAAAGAGAGAAGCGTAGAGAGCGGAAGTAGTTTGATGTCAAGGATGCTAGGGACCGAGAAAATAGCAGAAAAATCCGCACCATCTGCCCGTCGTGTCACCCAGGTGTAGAAGCGTCCTGACTGTCATGCTACCGAAATTTGTCGCACGTTTGTGGAAAGATCCGCGAAGATTTCCCGCGCCTGAACATGCGTGAGGAATTTACAATCGCTCCGGATAACCTCTCTCGTGCGATCGAAGTTGTGACGTCGCTCCCCCCCCCACTCCTCTGCGTCGTCCCCCCACCACCGCCGCGCGGTGGGCGGCACCCGCTCGAGTGCACCGCCCATTGGCCGGCGCCCGCTCGAGCGCGCCGCCCATTGGCCGACTCGAAATGGCGCTCTCCGATTGGCCGAGCGCTGCTAGGGACCCTAGGCAGCGGCGAACGCGATTGGCTGTCGACATAATCGACCTGTCAAACGTTCCTCGAGATGTCACGTCGCATGAAGGAGGTAAAGGATTATTCTCGGAGGGGTTGGCGAGCCTGGTGGCCTCTCGAGCTCGCGAATTTCGGCTCTCGGCGCATGCAATGGAGGCGATCCGCGGCGTTTGACGTGAGGGAGAGAACGACGAGAGTTGTAATCCCGAAGATACCCTCCAGGAGACGACGATGGCGGACGAGGAGCTACCAGCGGGTTGGGAGAAACGCCTCAGCAGGTCGACCGGTATGTCATTTCGGGATCGGCCCGGACGAATCCCACCGTCACCGGCGTCCGCCGGCATTTTTTTCGCCGAGACGATCAATCGAAGAAGGCCCAGGCCTTCTGCTCGGGACTCCTGGAGTCTCCTCGCAATCGTAGTTGACGTGATACTACGAGTTTTCAGTTGGAGAAGAACCTTCTCCAGGAGGATCCGCCTCCTCGAGATCCTTCCTCGTCAGGAGATTCCGCCTCCTGCGAACATTCGTTGTTGAAAAGTCAAGAGTTTGATTTAGGAAAGTTTTTTTATTGATCTGTCAACAATTTTGACTCTTGAAATATTCCAAAGAGATTATCTTGGCTTGTCTTTTGAGCTGAACTTTTGAAAATAAAAACAGCTATTCAGATATCAACTTGATACACGTTATGAGAGTTCTTGAGGGGAGCGATAATATTGTTTTATGAAATTATTTTATGAAAAATATGTGAACCTAAAATTCAATCTAAAAGTATACTTCACAAATTGTCAAACAAATTGTCAATAATTTTATTTTTAATATTACTGATAATTCTTTCAATTTTAAGTTTAATTTTTAACGAGTATAAAATACAAGCTGGGAGAAAAATAGATTTAAATGTCTGTTTTAAATAACTTTATTACACATATAAAAATAACATGTCGCATAATAAAATCTCCCAGTGAATTTTGTAGTAATTTATGTCATGATTGCAGGTCAGCACTATTATTTAAATATTTTGACTCTTGAAATATTCAGCAGGGATCACCTAAGCTTGTCTTTTGAGATGAACTTTTAAAAATAAAAACAGCTATTCAGATATCAACTTGGTACACATTATTAGAATATTCTTGAGGGGAGCGATAATATTGTTTTATGAAATTATTTTATGAAAAATATGTGAACCTAAAATTCAATCTAAAAGAATACTTCACAAATTGTCAAACAAATTGTCAATAATTTTATTTTTAACATTACTGATAATTCTTTCAATTTTAAGTTTAATTCAAGTTTCAATTTTAAGTTTAATTTTTAATGAGTATAAAATACAGGCAGGGAGGAAAATAAATTTAAATGTCTGTCTTAAATAATTTTATTACACATATAAAAATAACATGTCGCATAATAAAATCTTCTAGTGAATTTTGTAGTAATTTATGTCACGATTGCAGGTCAGCACTATTATTTAAATATTTATACTAAGGAGAGCCAATGGGACAGACCTGATAAACCTGCAGATCCATCTGACAACGGCAAAGCAGATGGTCCGGAAGAAGTGCAATGCTCTCACCTACTTGTGAAACATTCAGGCTCTCGACGACCTTCGTCCTGGCGAGAAGAGAACATTACTAGATCAAAGGAAGAAGCTCTTGAACTTGTTAAATGTAATCCTTCATAAATACTCTTCATTCATATAACTTATAAGAATAGAATATTCCTCTTGATGTACAATATTACATAGAAAATATATTGTCGACAGCTTATAGAGAACAAATCGCGTCCGGCAAAGCGACGTTCGCCGAACTCGCCTCCAAGTACAGCGATTGTAGTTCAGCGAAGCGCGGTGGTGACCTCGGGCCCTTCAGTCGAGGCGCAATGCAGAAGCCCTTCGAGCAAGCAGCCTTCACGCTGAAGGTTGGCGAGCTGTCCTCGCCCGTGCACACAGATAGCGGAATTCACATCATCCAACGGACTAAATAAGCCCCAGCTGAGCGCGAAATAAATTGCCGAAGACTCGTGAGAAACTTCTCTCTCTCTCTCTCTTTCTCTTTCTCTCTTTCTCTCTTTCTCTTTGTCTTTTAATCTTAACGACTATAAATTCGTACCAATGGGTGTTCTCTCCCAACATCATACGTTGATTGTTGCGGTATGCCTTATTTAAATCAGAATTTAAACTTGGTATTTCAAATTGAAACATTTTTTTAGGCTTGATTTTTTACATACATTATATTTTTAAGCGTAAAATTATTCCTGTCCTACTTTTGTCGATAATTTTGTGCTTTGAAATAGGATAATAGGAAATTAATGATGCAATCAAAGAATTTTTGAGGCATCCTTAATTAATATTAATTAATTATAATTAATATTTTAAGTGTAAGAGTGCATATATCATAATGTCATTGATATGAGGATATCATATGATATGGGATATTAATATTGGAAATTATCAACATTAGGGGAAGTAATATTTGAAAACGCTTTTTTGGGAATCCACTTATCTTACTGCAAGATATAGAGATTGTTTAATATTAAATGTATCTTCCAGCTTGATAAAAGTTAAAAATGAAAAATGAACTATGCAATTAATTATTGCTTAATAACTTTGTACGGTTGTTATTAGTAGAATAATGAAAAAAAGTTGCACGAAATATTAAAGAGTGTTATGGCAGATTACTTTTGGCAACAAAACTATTGTAATATTGATTGGCTAACTTTTAATCATGTGTATGATAAAGTTTCATTCTTTTAATTGTATCCTATTTATTTGCATTGAAACATACACTATATGATTGAGTCAATTATAATTAAGTTGAAATTGAAGTTACATAGCATTGAGAGAAAGCATGTTTTATCAGTTAAATACTGAGAGTAAGTTTCATTTTTGTGTAAGTTTTTAAATATATTGACAAAGTAAATATTTTGATAGAATTCCCAATCTTTCAATTTTAAAATAAAATAAATATGTTTTTTTCCATTTTTTTTTATTAATCTTCTATTCCTGTGTAATATTTAATGCATTTGCAGTACGATACATACTTCAACATTTCAACAAGCATTTTTATTGCCCCATCATAGGTCTTGATGTATTTTTGATATTAATACAGTAATATCGGGAAGAGAAATCATGAAAAAATATATAAATGTCGTATTTCCGAAAAATACCAATTCCAATTCGAAGATGACACAAATAACAAACAACTAATATAAGATGGAAAATTTATTTCTTTTAATAAATCAATAAATTGTGTGGACATGAAAGTAAATTTAAAAAATATATTTAAATGTTTTATTTGTCCTGAAAGATAGAGAATTTTGGAAATGGTTAAATTTGGAAATAAATTCATATATATATACATATTGCAACGTATATTGTAAAACAAGGTTTATGATGTATGAAACAAGCATAACTGGGGCAATTTTAGAGAATCAGTTTTAGCTTTGTTACATAAAACATATAAATTAATGTATTATACATGAATTTACCATACTTACCACTAGGATTCTACACACAAAATGATTTATGCTTAGATGTACATGTAGCAGAGGGATAATATATACGTTTTAAATTTTATTACGAGATTTTAGGTGTAATTTTGAGAGATTTGCTAGTAACCTATCACATCAATATGATAGCTAGATTTATTTGAATGATCTATTGTCTCTTTCATTCTACTTTCAATTTCTATTAATTGAAAACGCAATAAATTATATATTTAACTGATATATATGTATAAATACAAACATTTTACTTTAGAAAATACAGATGTAAAATAAGATTTTCGTGTAGATAAAATTGTTTGAATATTTCTAAAATAAGATTTTCGTGTAGATAAAATTGTTTGAATATTTCTAAATAGATGTATGATGTCGATAGAATATTTAAAGATCACACAATATTATATTACATTCAATATTTTATAATATAATTCACATTTAAAGTGAAAATATGTTTGCAAAAAAGAAATGTGTTTTGAGAAGAAATTGTTTCATTCTTTTACTTTTTATAAAAAAGCATAAACATTTGTTTATGTAAAAGTAAAATACGATTACTCGAATGGGACAAAAGATCATTCTTTTGAAATTAGTGAAATTTTAATTCCTTGTATGTTTATGCAGAATATCATCGAAGGATAAAGTGCGAAAAGATTAAAGAGTTGTGAAAACTGTACTGTAATATTATCAACAAATGTGCGCAGCTACTTTAATGACTCACGACTAGTTATCTTTGGTCAGATCGTTCCCGTTTACTTGTAGGAAATAAATGTTACCGTTGATGTTAATTAACTATCATTTAATCAAAGCACATACGATGTTGAAGGAATTTAACAGTTTTTTAATCTTCAGATATGTGAAAATCACAAACATTAATTGCTATTGTTAATCATTAATTACTAATTAATTGTCTGATTTTATTGTATGAATTGTAATTTAAATGATGAGAAAAAAGGCAGTCTCTCCAAAAATACTATTTAAAATACTGAATATGCGTCGTATCAATTTCATCGATCACTATGTACTTGTCAGTTTGCTTCTACCGATGAGAACGAAATACATTAAATAATATTGAGAAATATATGTGTGCGTATATCGTATATATTCTCTGTATATTTAATTTCTTCAAAACAATTTATTTTCTTTTTCACTACGTAATTATAAAAAGATGTCAATTATATTCTCATTGTATAAATTCAATCATATAATATATTTTATTGTATATAATTTTATATAATTATTATATAAATATTATATAATTATATAATTATTATATAAATATTATAATTATCATATAATTATTATTAATTATTATACTTAATTATTATACATTTACACGATAAATTATTATAAAATATAATTTATATTTTTCAAAACCGATTTTACTTTGGAAAAAAATAAGAATTAAATTATTTTATACAAATTTTCAATTATATTTCTCTTATATAAATGTTAAACTTAAGTAAAAATTTTCATAGTTCTAAGACGTTTTTCTAACGATTTTAATTGATATGATTCTTAAAAAAATCTTTTTGAAAATAATCCTGATCGCTTCTCGTATATATTTAAGGGTAATTTTCAGTTCACACTTATTGTTAGCGCTAGAAGACACGTGATAGAAAAAATAACGAATTGGTATCTTTATTTTTAGTCATGTGACGTTTTTTAACTAGAAAATAAGCGTCGATTATTGAGTGCACGTCAACATATTCGCATTCCTCAAGATGCCCGAATTTCCTGGAGAAGTCTGGAATTCTCAGAAATATCAGAATAAAAATATACATTAGACACATGCTCCATATTGCAATCACAGTTTTATTTTATTTTTTCAAGCAAGTAAATATACCTATTTTAAAATATATTTATGAAGAGATTATCTTTAAAATTATAAATTCGTAAGTAATAAAAAAAATAAAAAAATGAAAAATGCTTATTTTATGAAAGTCATTCAGTCTTTTCAGTACTTTTTTGAATTTAACATTTGAAATTTAAATAATTTTTTCCTTCTCAATAGTATGAATATAAAATATGAAGAAATTTTTCTCTAGTCTTCTAGATATTTTTATACAAAATTTCGAGGAAACTTAGATAGGTGCAATTTTTTAAAATAAATAAATAAATAAATTTCATAATCATACCATTTCATATTTTATATCTTTCCTCCTCGATGGTACGGATATAAAATATGGAATGGTATGATTATGAAATTTATTTTAAAAAGTTGTACCTATCTAAGTTTACTCAAAATTTTGTGCAAAAATATCTAGAGGACCAGAGAAATTTTTTAAATCAAAATTTGAGGCATCTTGATTTACAACGAGATGAAATGATGATAGAATAATTGATAATGGAACAATTGATGTATTGCTTAAATAAGTAAATCTATTTTTTCCTTTTAACAGAAATATCGAGAATGATTTTTCAATTATTTATGATTAATCTAGTTGCATTCATTCCAATTCAATATGTTCCATAAATTATTTGCCTTTTTCTAATATTTTTGAAATATACAGGATGTCCCAAAAGTCCCGGACCGGTCGAATATTTCATAAATTATGCACTTCAGAAAGAAATGTTTCAGACAAAAGTTGTATGGCTTGAAGGGGGCAATCATTGCCATTAGTGGCAATGATTTGACCTTGCCATTATCTGATGGCCCCCTTCGAGCCATATAACTTTTGTCTGAAACATTTCTTTCTAAAATGTATAGTTTATGAAATATTCGACCGGTCCGGGACTTTTGGGACACCCTGTATATTTATTAGATTGAAAAAAAATCTGAAACATCTTTTACACATATATTTGTAATTCTTCTTTGATCTTTCGATATTTCACAGTAGCTCTTAATAGGTTTAAATTGCTTTCTGACAAGCTTTTATATGTGTAATCTGTCGATTAATTTATAAAATAGCTGTCATTAAGCGCGAAAGGGTTAAAATGGCCACGCTCTCCTGATCGAGAATAATACGTTGATTACTCGAGTGAGTCGAACGCATATGAATCTACATATGACAGAATAACATTGTATTATACATTACTTCGGTGAATATCACGTTCTTATCATATCTTTGAAACGGGAAATATTATGCACTATGTTTTTTTTTTTTATTTTAATCTGCATAAGATTATTAATAATTATTTAAAACACAATTTCTTCTTAACAAAAATATTATGAGATGAAAATGATTATTTAATTTATTAGTAAAGAAAAAAGTTTGATTAACTGAGTTTTAAAAATGCAATTAAAAGGATTTTATTTCTTGAGACTTTAATAAAATCTGTATCTGATTTAATTTGAATTATTAAATTTTCAGAAATTATATATATGTTGGGCGTAATCTGACAAACTAAAAATACATAATCGATATGAATTATTATTTTTAAAATATTGAAAGAAAACACAGATTTTTCAATTTTAGAAACATTTTATTAAAAGTTTATTATTTCTTAATTTTAAAAACATTATTTATTCTCTTTCAATGCAATATTACACAAATAATCAGTTTTATTTTCGAGCTTCCAAATTATATAATGCGCTTCCTCAAAGTAGTTGATCATATTTAATTTCCTTTGCATTATTAAATTTTTAGAAATTAACATAATAAAATGCAATTGTATATTTTACAAAATTAAAACTTATCAATATAAATTATTATTTTTATAAGATTAAAATTGCGCTCTTTATTATTTTTAAAATGCTTTTTTATTAAAAAAAAAAACATAAAGAGCGATTTTTAAAAATAATGGACACTAATTTATTACTTTTCCCTGCAGTATCAGACAAATGGTCGGTTTTATTTTCGAACTTCCAAAATGGTACGCTCCCTTCGAAAGAGTCGATGAAACATTTTATTAAAAATTTATTATTTCTTAATTTTAAAAACATTCTTTATTTATTCTCTTTCATTGCGATATTATACAAATAATCAGTTTATTTTTGAGCTTCCAAAATATATAATGCGCTCCCTCAAAATAGTTGATCATATATTTAATTTGCTTTGCATTATTAAATTTTTAGAAATTAACATAAAAAAATGCAATTGTATATTTTACAAAATTAAAACTTATCAATATAAATTATTATTTTTATAAGATTAAAATTGCGCTCTTTATTATTTTTAAAATGCTTTTTTATTAAAAAAAAACAAAGAGCGATTTTTAAAAATAATGGACACTAATTTATTACTTTTTCCTGCAGTATCAGACAAATGGTCGGTTTTATTTTCGAACTTCCAAAATGGTGCGCTCCCTTCGAAAGGGTCGATGATTGATACATCATCATTACATGGAATCGCGACGTATTATCGTGCATTATGCCATAATCGCGTCCCCAGATCGCTGAAGAGTGCATGTTGATACGAGCGATTACATAATAATTTGGAGTGAGTTTCGCGCCGTGTTCCCAGCTGAGGGGCCCCTGAATGGCGGATTTCCTCC